GGAAGGAGATACCAGAGTCGTCCTCCAACCATCCCTTGAGAGGCCTCAAGACAGACGGACGTCACCACATCCAATATATTCACAGCAGCTGCATTGAGTCAACCTCGTATTGAATTATTTATAGCACACTGCGATGTGTGCGTGCACTAACTGATGCACACATATACCACAACCACAGTTTCTTTACTTTTAGTTGCAAGGCTTTTCGGCACTTGCAGCACAAATAGTTCGCATAAACGCCGAAGATTAGAGGTGTCACTAGAGAGTAACATACAACGAAAAGAGGGAGGAGAGATAAGGACAGTAGATGCTGGATAGGAAAGAAGGAGCAAACCACACTAGAGCACCCTCCAACCGCCCACAATCACAGCCGTTAGGACTCACGTCTATCAACAAAACCGAAGTGACAGCAGTCGGTAAATTGTAAACATTTTAAGCCTCCTATCTACACAATTAAAATCTTTTAGGACATGGGATGCTTCAACCCTACCTGGTCTATGTGGGTAATTCATCGCAGCTAAAAGACGGAGATCTGGATAACTTATTTTCGTCACACACAAATTTAACTTGTGTCACGTGTAAAATGAAGAAAGAGTAACCGTTACTGCACAGATGATGGGGGTCATCAGGGGTTTTATAACATTTTGAGCTCTGTGGGGGTGTAAACATTTTAACAACAGTTGTACAATGTCTTGCGAAGCAGTTTAGCAACATTTAGCAATTAATCTCTCTCTCTCTCTCTCTCTCTCTCTCTCTCTCTCTCTCTCTCTCTCTCTCCCCCTCCCTCTCTCTCTCTCTCTCACACAGATTCTCTTTCTCTCTCTTTCTCTCTCCCTCCCTCTCCCTCTCTCTCTTTGCTTGTTTCCTTCAGTACTTTCTGAATTAGGATAGCAGCATCACATCCGGTTTCATCAAAAACCACACTAGACCACATGCCCCTTACTATAGGGGAGAGGGAAAAAGGCAGCTGGATGATAAAGAGAGGGTGACGCGTATCAATGCAATTACTGCAGGAAAAAGGTGAGACAGACTGATAGACAGAAACAACACAAGGGGGGAGGGAGAGAGGGAGAGAGAGAGAGGGAGAGAGAGGGAGAGAGAGAGAGAGAGAGGGGGGAAGCAATGGAGGGAGGGAGAGAGGGAGGGGGGGAAGGCTTGAGGGAGGGAGGGGAAATGGAGCGAAGGGATTGAGAGAGAGAGAGACAGAGAGACAGAGAGAGAGAGGGGATGTAAGAGTAGGCCATACCCATGACACCCTCCAGCCACCTGTGTATTTTTACAAATTCTATTTTTTAAAATGTTAACTAGCATTCTAGCAAATTATGAGTTGGAGCTTCAATTAAACCTTAGCATATTGACAGAGACATTAGAGAGTAAAGACAACCGATCACAATGTTTATTTAAAGCTGGGGGACTGTGGGAGGGGGAAGAAGAGGGAGAGACAGCCTTTAGAACCAATTTTAAAAAACTGTTCTTTCTTGCAAAGGATGAAGAACATACCTACAGCACCTTCTTACAAGACATAAGTGCTCAAGTGTAAATGTGGTCATGTGTGCACAAGTGTGGGTGTGTACATATTTCGTTTAAGAGTATGTGTAAAGAGTATGTGTACTCTTTAATTCTTTCTGCTCTGGAAGGGTGAGGGTGGGAGGGGAGGGGGGGGGAGAATGCTGAATACTAAGTGATATGAAAGTGAAAATGGAGGCAGGCAGGCAGGCAGGCAGGCAGGCAGGCAG